GCAACTGATCTCATAAACTTATTGACTTCTCATCATCTGCTCAAATCTTGAATTTGCACACCTCCACCAAACAAAAAGAAAAACAGACGGGACAACGAAATAAATTCAAAAAAATATCAAATAGCATGAAACACACAAAACTCGACTAAGAGGACCAAAATTCGTAAACAAAATGCCCAGAATAGTAGCAAGCAAATCAATAAAACAATAACAAAAAATAGGACAAATAATTATTATACAACATTCATAAACATTTTAATGTAGATTAAAACATTAAGTATATAAAATTTGAATAAATCTAAAAAATTAGACGACGAGTTTCAAAGAGCCTCTAATAAGAGCTCTCTAAAAATTTCACAGTATCAATCAAAGTCACTCATTTTAAAATATCTTAAAAAGTTTTTAAAAATATCAATTGTATACACCCTCATAGAGCTTTTGCACTTATCTTCAATCAAAATAAGAGTAGATACTTTGTTTTGTTTTTTTTTTTTTTTAAATTTCAAAACGATAGAAATATTCTCATAAATATAACAAGCTTTTAACAACCAAAAAACTAACTACTCCTAATCAAACCAAAAAATACAACAAGGGTTAGTCCGAGAGTTGCCCTAAAACCCAAGAAGCAACAACACAAAGCCAAACAATCAAACTAAAACACTCAAAACTAAACCACTCAAACTTGCAGCCAAACCTTACCACAACCAAAAGTCCAAAGACAACAAGACTAAGATGAACATATTAGACTAAGGGGTCGTTTACTTTGGAGGATTGGGATAGGATAAGGGAAATAATCCCCGATATCTCGCGTTTACTCTGTGGGAGATGGATAGTATTATGGTGACTTGGCGCCCACGTGGCGCGCACTTATCAGCTAAAACCGGACATAAAAATCCCGCCTCCCCCACCTGATATTTTTATCCCGTTTTTATCCTACCTATTTTGCCCTCAACTTTTTGTGTGAATGGACAAAAATACCCCTTATTTTCGTAGAATTTACAATTTTATTACAAATAAAACTGAAACATCGGGCATTTGCCCTAGGTGAGCTGCGACGCCATTGTTGCTGAGGAGTTGAAGCTTTCGAATCGTAAGGTGAGCTCCTCTCTTGTTTGTACTCTCATTTTCAATTTCGATTTCATTCAATTTTCCGCAACATTCGGGGAACACAAAATTGAAGCGAGCAATTTGGCCTATGTTTTGCAGAAACGAAGAGAAGCAATTTGCCCTAGCTTCGGATTCTCCGTCGCCTCTATAGGTGAGCTCCAGTATCGCCATTTTTCCTTCTGAAATTCGATTTTCCATGCGTACATCGATTTGAAAAATCGGCCATTTTGCCCTATTAGCAGGGGGATCGTCGCCATTGTTACATAATAGGCTTGAGCTCCGGTTTTTCCTTCGTCCTGTAGGTGTGTTCATTTTTAATCGCCAGTACTATACTTTTTTTTTAAAGTTTGATTTATTCGGCCATTTTTGTTGTAAAATCGAGCATTGAAGAACCCTAGTTACTGCAGAAACGAAGACACCATTCTCGTCAAGGTGTAGGCTTCGAATCCTCCATCGGTCCTAAAGGTGAGCTCAATCAATCGCCACAATAACCTTTTCAGTTTCAGTTTATGTCCACTGTTCTGAAATGTTATTTTGGTTTTTTTTTTTCGAAGTGTTTGTTTCTCTATAGCTGTGAGCTTTTTCTCCCTCACCTATAAGGTAAATACTCTAACCTTCTGAGCTTTATTCTCCCTCACCTGTAAGGTAAATACTCCCTCACCTCTCATTTGTTTTAATTTGTACATTATTATGCTTTCAGTTGTGATTGTTGTGATTGTTGTGCTTTGCTTTAATTTGTACATTATTATGCTTCCAGTTGTGACCTCTTTATATGTATATGTTGGTAGTTCTGAAAATTGGACCTCTCTTTCAATTTGTACATTATTGTGCTTCCAGTTGTTGAAAAGGCAAATGCCTATAAATGCTGTTTTATGGTTCCTAAATTCATTGTTGGTGAGAATTGTTGTGGCACTTGTCTGTGTATCCTTGCACAGAACTTATTTCAATTCAAAACTGTTTTAGCTAGTCCATTGATTTGTAATTTGTTTCATTTGCTTAATTGTGCTTAATTTGTTCTAATTGTGTTTGGTACAAAATAAAGTCAAATATATAACAACATGCTTTGTTTTAATTATTTTGTTAACTGATATGTCATTTACTATGCTTTGTCTTTAGTAATTAACTGATATGTCATTTATTATGCTTTGTCTTTAGTAATTAACTGATATGTCATTTATTATGCTTTGTCTTCAGTAATGACATACATCACATTGAGTGGCATGATTGAATGTCTCAGTATAAGATCCAATGGATTTAAACTTGCTATATTTGATGTTATGCACTATAATCTATGGGGACCTTTTGTTGTTACATCACATTCTGGATCTTTTTATATTACAAAGTGGCTAGAGATGTCATGTTTCATGCTTCATTGCCCTTATCTTTCTAGCTTGATTGCATACTAGGTGCTGCTCATATCATTAATAGAGCACCTTCTTCAGTTTGGAACAAAATGTCTCTTTATGAACTGCTTTACAAGAAACCACCTTCATATGGTCACTAAAGAGTTCTTTGGTTGTCTCTAGGTTGCATCTGGGACATGTCACTATCCTTGCTTGATTTGATCTATTTCAGCCACCAAATTTTATTCTTGAGCATTCTGACTGTGGTTAAAGTTGAAGTTAAAACCTAAATGCATGTTGTTTGGTTCAGTTTCAATTTGTTGTGAACTTGTTGATTGTGGTAAGGTCATGCATAATTTTCAGAGTTTATTTTTTGTTTAAAAAAAGCTAACTTAGGTAATAGAACCTGTTTTTCATATAACCATGTCTAAACCTAATAAAAATTGTTAAATGCACAAGATGTCTATCTGTTAAATGCCTTGTATTTTAGGTATTTGTCTACATATTTATATGTCTGTTTATGCCTTTTTTTTGTTTATGATTTTGCGACTGCTAGTATTCAGTCAAATGCCACTATTTGAGCAGTGAACAAATGTTTAAATTTCTATGCCTTTTATTCTGCCCACTGCCAGTTGCAATGCCAAAGACTAATGACAAACTATTTCAGATATATTTTAAAAGAACCTGTCAAATAAAACATGCCTTGTTTGTTTATGATTTTAAAAGAGCATAGGTTTTAAAAGAATCTGTCAAATAAAACATGCCTTCTTTTGTTTCAATGATAGTATAAAACATGCCTTGTAAGGGTTCTTTTGTTTGCCTTGTTTATCATTTGTGGAGAATGCACAAGATGTCTAGCTGTTAAATGCCTTGTATTTTAGGTTTTTTTCTACATATCTATCTGTCTGTTTATGCCTTGTATGTCTATGATTTTGAGGCTGCTAGTATTCAGTCAAATGCCACTATTTGAGCTGTGAACAAATGTTTAAATTTCTATTGCTTCTTTATTCTGCCGACTGCCAGTTGCAATGCCAAAGACTAATGACAAA